TGTGAGGTAGGTGGGGCTGAGAGAGCTCTGAGAGAAACGGCTCTTTTTCAAGAATAGCTCTGACAGAACTATGGCTTGCCCAAGGTCATCCAGCAGGTGCAAGTGGAGGAGTGGGGAATCAAACCCGGTTCTCCCAGATCAGAGTCTGCGCACTTAACCACTACATCAAACTGGCTATCAGACTGTAACCACTGTACCATGTTGGCTCTCAAATTGTGCATGTTACCCTGCATTGTTTTCATTTTCTCCCCAACTACCCCCCCCAAAAAAACCCCCCATGGATTCCAAATTCTAAATCTCTGTCCAGAAATGTTAAATCTCTATCCTCTTCCTCTTGGTCTAGATGATGATGTCATTGACACAGCTCAGACAGAGGAGAGGCCTTTGGGCATTCATTTCAGTTTCTTAGCTCTTCAAGCGTCAGCAGTTTGTAACTTGACACAACTTCTTCTTTCCTTAATCCTCTGGTAATTTTTGGTAAATAGAGGTGCAGACAGCTTTCTCACAGGGAAACTGGATACTAAGGAAGAAGTAGTTTTCATGCTGGTGGGGAAGGTGCTTATTGAGGGTACTCCATCTAGTGGTTGATTCGATATGACACCGGGTTATGTCCGGCATATCTCCCTGCAGATTTAAAATGCAGGTTTTTATGCAGTCATAAACCTGTGTGATATCAAATCAACCACTAGAGGGAACCCCCCCCCAAAAGAAACAGGAACCTGTGTGTGTTTGTGTGTGAAGTGCCATCAAATTGCAGCCAACTTATGGAAACCCCAGCAAGGCAAGGGAGAAGCAGAAACAGCTCGCCATCGCCATCCTCTTCAGCAGGGCTCTTTTTGTAGAAAAAGTCCAGCAGGAACTTATTAGCATAATAGGCCACACCCAACAGCAGAAACTCATAAGCATATTAGGCCACACCCCTGACAGCACAGCTCATTAGCATATTAGATCGCACCCCCATGTTACCAGAAGTGTGCTCATCCAGCCACACCCACCTTTTGCTTCTTATTCTGTTTACCTTGTTTGTTGTCAAAACCCAAGGCTTTTCTTGTAGCGGGAACTCCTTTCCATGTTAGGCCACACACCCCTAACGTAGCCAATCCTAATGAGTTTCTGCTGTTGGGTGTGGCCTATTATGCTAATGAGTTCCTGCTGGGCGTGGCCAACTCGGAAGCCAGCCTGTGCGTTCCTGCCCCAAAATAGCCCTTCTCTTCGGTCTTCCTTGGAGGTCTCCCATCCAAGTACTAACTTCAGCTGCCCCTGCTTAGCTTCCGAAATCTAATGAGATCGGGGCTGTGCCATGCCTCCTCCTCTCCCAACCGGAACTTACCTGCGAGTAAAATGAGAATGCGGAAGAGCCCCCCAGTCAAAAGCACTGGGTCTTCCACTTGCTGGGGGGGGGGAATTGTAACAGTCGACCATGTCATTGTGCAGATGAGAAACGTGGCCACTGGAACGTGTCCAATGCAAACTACTCGTGCCCCCCTCAGCACATTGTATTTTGGAGGAAGTCTGCATGTCCAGGGAGCACAGTTTCGGCCCCCGACCACATCAGACAGGGAAGTCACTTCTGCATGTGACTCTGGGGCAGCGGCGGGGTGGGGGTGGGGGTTGTTTTGCAGTCATCTTCCTAAGTTTAGGCACACACAAGAATCTGTTGTATTTTTGAAACTCTCCTCTCTGCTTTCTGCCGAGTGGTCGGAAACAGCCAAAGTGGACAAACATTACCCCCACAGACAAGTTTCTGTTTCAGGAGCCGGTTTCAGTCACTCTCGGATGTGGCCAAGAAACAGTACGCTCTGTGGGGCACGCCAGGCTTCCCAAAGGAATCTCAGAGAAGGAGGGCTTCCAGCCTGGTGCAATGGTTAGAATCCAAAACCAAACAAAGGTTAGTGAAAAAGAGGGCCAATCTTAAAACCTTTCCATAAAAAATAAAAAGGGGTACATGTATTTATTAATAATAACAATTTTTAAAACATATATAGAGGCCCATTTGCAGCCTTTGTATATAATATATACTTTGTATATATTATTGATTGTGTTTATGTAAATATAATTATCTCGCCACTTATGTATGACGTCTGAAGAAGGCCTATTTGGCCGAAACGCGTAAGGTCAACTTTGTAAGCCCTGGATATTGTTATATTTTATATATATTGGTTGCAAACGGGCCTCTATATATGTTTTAAAAATTGTTATTATTAATAAATACATGTACCTCTTTTTATTGTTTATGGAAAGGTTTTAATATTGGCCCTCTTTTTCACTAACTTTTGTTTGGTTTTGGAGTTTATTGTTAGGTTCAGTGTTTTCCCCCCCTTGGTTTCTGCTTGCAATGGTTAGAATGCCAGACTAGGATCGGGGAGGCTCAGGTTCAAATCCCCTCTTCTGCCGTGGACGCTGGCTGGGTGCCCTTGGGACAGTCACAGCCAGTTTGGTGTACTGGTTAAGTAAGTAAAGGTTCCCTTGCTCGAAAGCCAGTCGAATCCGACTCTAGGGTTTGCGGTGCTCATCTCTGTTTCAAAGCCGAAGAGCCAGCACTGTCCGAAGATGTTTCCGTGGTCATGTGGCCGGCATGACTAAACACCAAGGCGCACGGAATGCTGTTACCTTAAGTGTGTGGACTCTAATCTGGGAGAACCAGGTTTGATTCCCCACTCCTCCACTTGCGGCTGCTGGATGACCTTGGGTCAGTCACAAGTTCCCTCAGAGCTGTTCTCTCAAGGGCAGGTCTCGAAAGAGCTCTCTCAGCCTCACTGACCTCACAGGGTGTCTGTTGTGGGGAGGGGAAGGGAAAGGAGATTGTCAGCCGCTCTGAGACTCCCTTGGGTAGTGAAGGGCCATGGGGTATAGATCCAATCTCCTCTCCTCTCCTCCCCCCCATACCATCCATTTTCTCCAGGGCAGTGTTCCCTCTAAGCTGAGTTAGTGTGAGCTAGCTCACAGTTTTCTTAGCCTCCGGCTCAGACATTTTTGTCTCAGCTCAGGAAGGAGGGCTCCAGAGCAAACTAATTCATCCAGCAGCCAAATCGCTCGCGGCTCACAACTTTAATGCCAGGAACTCAGAAAGTAGAATTTTTGCTCACAAGACTCCACAGCTTAGAGGGAGCATTGCTCCAGGGCAACGGATCTCTGCTGTCTGCAAATGAGCTGTAATTCCAGGGGATCCGCCGGTCCCACCGGGAGGCTGACCCCCTACCAGCCAACCACCATCAGGGAAGTCCTGGGGCAGAGCTGGTTCCAGGTTTGGAGGGCCCTGGGCAGAGAGGGGCCCTCTCCTGTCCTGTCCTGTCCTCTCCCCACCCCCTTTCCTGCTCACCCACTTGCCTAAGTATCCTTCTTCTGCCTGTGAAACACCCCCCCATGCCTTTCACCAGTGCCACTGGTCAGCATAGAGCATCACTACACCAGCTGCATGCCCGTCCCCAATGATGCTGGGGGGTGCATGTGTCAGGCAGCTTGGGTAATAACAATAATTATCGTATGGCCTTGTATGCAGTATAGCCCGGAGATCCTAAGACTGTCCGGCAGCCATAAGTTCTAGCTCTTTAGCATTTTTTAAAGGGTTCTGTTGGTTTTAAAGAGAAAAAAGAAAACGACAACAGCCACAGACAGAAGAAACGAACGCACAACAAACATGGAGTATGTACTCGCTATAGCTAATTAAATTTTACATAGATAGAATCATTCTCTCATGCGCCTAAACCAGTTTAACCATTTAACATATAGAGCTTATATTTTAATAATTATGTCACACATTTTCTCAGAGAGTCCTCAGTCCATCTGTAGAATCTTGACCAGTTCTTCTTTTATCTTGTAATTATCTTTAGCCTTATGCACCATTAGAATAAGATTGCCTGGTAGCCAGAAGTTCTAGCTCTTTTAGCATTATGCACCACGAGGTGGCGAACTAGACTTGTGTTGATGGCAAGAGACGTTTCAGAGGCGGTTTCGCCACTGCCTGCCTCTGCCTCCCAGCCCTGGTATTCTATCGAGGTCTCCCTCCCAAATACTAGCCAAGGCCGACCCTGCTTAGCTTCCGAGATCTGATGGGCTCGAACTAGCCTGGGCCGTCTAGATGAGGGCAGGGAGCTCTAGTGGTGGAACGTGAAGCAGAAGACAGGGAAAGGCACACAGGCAGGGCAGGCCCATGGCGAGAAGGCATGGGCAATGGGCCCCACCAGAACCCCTGGGCCTGGCAGCTGCCCCAGCTCAGGACTCGTGGGCTTGTCCAATAGGCCAGCATTAATGAGAGCCATCGTTCAAGGAATGGGATGGGCTTAGCCAGGGGTCATTTCGTAGAAAAAGAGGTGCAGGAGCCCATTACCATAACTCATTCGCATAACTTATTTGCATATGCCACACCCCCTGACCTCACCGGAAGTGTGTCAGAAGGCGACACCCACCGCTTAGGCTCCACTGGACTCTTTTGATTGCTAGCTATTGGGGGGGGGGAATGCGCAGATCTGCCCTCGCAGAGGAGGGAGAGCTTGCACCTGAATAAACCTTGGTCTTAAAGGTGCCACTGGACTCTTTTGGATTGCTAGCTATTGGGGGGGGGGACACGCAGATCTGTCCTCGCAGAGGAGGGAGAGCTTGTACCTGAATAAACCTTGGTCTTAAAGGTGCCACTGGACTCTTTTGGATTGCTAGCTATTGGGGGGGGGAACGTGCAGATCTGTCCTTACAGAGGAGGGAGAGCTTGTACCTGAATAAAACTTGGTCTTAAAGGTGCCACTGGACTGTTTTGGACCGGGGGACCAGGGGGGGGCTCTGCAGCTTACCTGGCTGCTTCTTGCTCTGACTGAGGGCTGCTGGGAGCAGGGGGCGGGGCTTGTTGCATGTGCCCGCCCCCTGGGCTCTTTACTGCCGGAGCTCCACTCCTGTGCGCTCCTGCAGGAAATGACCCCGGGCTTAGCGTACGGAGCATGGCCGGGTGAGCACTGCTGGGCCTCGGAGAGCTCTCTCTCACCTATTTCTTCTGCACGTTTCCCTTGCAGTTCCTGTGCCTCAAGAACATCCGGACGTTCCTGGCCACCTGCTCCGAGAAGTTCGGCCTGCGGAAGAGCGAGCTCTTTGAGGTCTTCGAATTGTTCGACGTGCAGGATTTTGGGAAGGTCAGCGTGCTTTCTTAACCCCCCCCCAAGCCACTTTCCTAAGGCACAGCAAATTAGGGTTGCCAATCCTCCAGGTCGGGGCTGGAGATCCCTTAGAATTGCAGCTCATCCCCAGACCACAGAGGTCAGTTCCCCTGGAGAACATGGTTCATTGGGGGAGGGGGGAGTCCATAGCCCTGTGCCCAGCCGAGGTCCCTCCCCTGCCCAAACCTCACCTTCCCCAGGATCCGCACCGAAGTGTCAGGCTTTTTAGTCAGGTCACACCACACAGGGCTTCATAACTGTTTATTAGTGGTTCCAGTACTAAAGAACACGTGTACAGATTGTGTCAGGAATGGCCGTCAGTTAACGACTCTTTCACAATAAAAGGTCTGATTTCTAAGATTTATTCACTTCTGTTTAAACTTTAAAAACCTACTTTATTAAAATATCAACGGGCATGGCACCAAGATTTAGATCAAGTATTAGCGGAAGATCAATGGGCGCAAGTTTGGAGCTCCTCAATTTATACCTCTCCTTGTTTTAACATTCAATTACCAATATTTAAGTTAGTCACTAGACGGTATATGACACCAGTTCAATTATCACATTCTTCACCCCCGATATTGCCTTTTTGCTGGAAGGGATGTGGCAACAAAGGTACTTATTTTCATTCATGGTGGTCCTGCCCAATTATATTCAGATTTTGGTCTCAAATAATTAGTTAGGTTAATATAATAACAAAATACAAGATTCCTCACTCGCCCAAGATTATACTTTTAAATCTCTGGGACGAGCTTCCGGCTCCTATTCCTAACTATGTACAGGAACTAATAGCTATTTTATTTTTGGCGGCCAAGATACTTCTAGCCGCCAAATGGAAATCTACAGAGATGCCTACGATACACGATTGGCTAAACAAGACTTGGGCTTATTTTGTTTTTTATAAAATAACGATTAAACTAGAGCATGCTAATTCAGAAAAACGTAAATCTTGTTTTGTTAAAAAATGGTCGCCCTTTGTAGAGTTTTCTATAGGGCATACGAACGTTTCAAAGATTAGTATCATAAATGTCAGATATAAGATGGTTTATTACCTGTTGATTCACTCAAGGGAAATTTAGAGAATATTTCCAAGTATAAATTTAAGACAATTACTGTTTTATAGATGGTTATGACTGTTATTACCTTACAAAAAATTTACATGATCCGCTTTTAGTTACAGTTTTACTGTATACAGTTACTTTGGTGGATTGTCTGTGTTTTATGACAAACGTTATGCAACTTTTTGTATCTTATGTCATTCCATTTCTAGCTAATAAAACTTTAAAAATTAAAAAAAAAGGAATGGCCGTCAGTAGTAGGGCCTCTGACTTATAGTAAAATCAAACATCCCCCCTGAAAGCATAAGCCAATAGATACGTTTCGCACGCGCGGCAAAGGCAAGCGGGAAAAGCAAAAAAGCCGTTAATTTTCCCAGCCGTGGAAACTGCAGCTGGAACTTCTACAGGGCCAAGCATAAGAGAGCGCACAGTAGCTGAGCAGGAGAGAGCTGGGAACGAGAAGGAGGGATACCCCTCCACATTCCAGATCCATGACAGGGCTACCTGTTAAGTCCTGAGCTTAACAAAGAGTCAGAGAGTGATTTCAGCCAAAACTCCAGTTTATTCTTCCACACGATCACTTCTCCAACACGGTACAACATCTGATAGCCCGAACGGTTTGCCCATTGAAACTGCTCGGTATTTAAACATTCCCGGCTAATATAGCCACTCCTACTTTACAGATAACAACCTATCAGGTTGATCGCATAAGGACCAATCACACACGTTCCTGCTTCCAGCTTGCTTGAATGTGATTGGACGCATTTGTCTTGGACTTGAATCCCTGTCCAAGACGAAGGTTTACATTGCTTCCCAGTGAGATGTTTCACGTTACATCTAATGCATTCATGGCAGCATCTGAATACATTACACTACCTGACACCAAGTCTCCAGAATTTCCCAATGCTGAACAGGGAGGCAGAGCCCACGACACGACCCGTGCATTTTTTTTAATAACAATTTTTAGTAGGATATAACATCCAATCAAACAATATAACATTTTTTTCAGTCATTTTATATCCTTTTCTACCCCTATCTTCCCCCCTCTTCTTCTGGCTTCCCGCAGTGCTCCAACCTCCCTCCTTAATTTTTCTTGATTCCCATTTCCCTTCACCTTTCATCTATTACTTAAACTTATTAGGTAACACTATTATCCTTATACACTTTTACACATTCCAAATATCTTTCTATCAATAGTTGTCAAAGCTAAATAAGTTGTTCTTCACCTCCCAATATTTCTCCAAATAGTCTTTGAACTCTTTCCAATCTTCGAAAAATTCTTCTGCTTCCCGGTTGTTGAGTTTTCTTGTCATTTTGTCCATTTCAACCATGAAAGTTAACTTTTTTATCCATTCCCAGATCTCTGGTACTTTTTCCCGTTTCCAGCATTGAGCATATATCATTCTAGCTGATGTAATCATATACCACATTAGAGTTCGTTTTGCAATGTTAACTTCTTCCCTCTTAAGTCCCAACAACAACACCTCTGGCTCTTTTTTAAATTTACATTTCACAGTTTTTACGACCCGTGCATTTTTATGCTGTTGCAAACACCCTCTGAAGATGGTGTGTGTGTGTTTTGCTCTGTGGTGTTCCACACCCTTGAGTGGCCCCGTAACATGCGGAGCCCGGGGAAGGCAGAGTTCAAAGGCAGGCAGGTGCTCAGAACCCACCCTCGAAAGAAGACATTTTCTCCAGGGGGGCTGGTTTCTGTAGCCTGGAGATGAGGTGGAATTCCAGGTCTCCAGCCACCGGAAGCTGGACTCCGTAGGAAAACAAACGTGATATGATAACGAAGTCGTGTTTAGGGGGAAATATATCTTCTTTAATTATCCAGAAGAAGAAGAAGAAGAAGAGATTGGATTTATAGCCCGCCCTTCACTTGGAGTCTCAGAGGGGCTTACAAACTCCTTTCCCTTCCCCTCCCCACAACAGACACCCTGTGAGGTGGGTGGGGCTGAGAGAACTCTGACACAAACTGCTCTTTTTCAAGGACAGCTGTGTCAGAGCATGTGACTGACCCAAGGTCACATCAGCAGGTGCAAGTGGAGGAGTGGGGAATCAAACCCGGTTCTCCCAGATTAGAGTCTCCAGTGAGTAACAAACCATTGTAGAGGGCTGCAGTGGCTCAAATGGTTAAGACGCTGAACTGCAGACCGGAAGGTGGGTAGTTCAGCAGTTCGAGACCCGAGTGTGCCGCATGACACAGTGAGCTCCTGTCTCTAGCCCCAGCTCCTGCCAACCTAGCAGTTCGAAAGCAAGAAATTGCGAGTAGATAAATAGGTACCGCTTTGGTGGGAAGGTAACGGCGTTCCGTGCACCTCGGCGTTTAGTCATGCCGGCCACATGACCGTGGAAACGTCTTCGGACAGCGCTGGCTCTTCGGATTGGAAAACGAGATGAGCACCGCATCCCTAAGGTTGGATTCGACTAGCTTTCGAGCAAGGGAAACCTTTACTTAACAAACCATTAAAGTTGTTTCCTCTGAAACAAATTGGTCCCAACTGTTTCTGACGGGACAGCGCTCAATAGACCGTTTCACTCAAGGTTTCGTCAGATGGGACCTTACACCTTTCATATTTTTCCCCTGCAACTGTTTTTCTGCTCTGAAATATAATCAAAGAAGATATGTTTTCCCCTAAACATGACTTCGTTATCTTGTCACGGTTGTTTTCCTGCAAAGTTCAGCCTGTCCCGTGGTCTCTCGTCCTTGACCCCACCTGGAGGTTGGCAAGTGTTGTGCCGTGACTTTCTCATACAAGGTGGGCTTTGAGGAAGGTTCTGGGGGAAGAGAGGAAGGCGGGTTCATCTCGTTGTTGTGGGACAAGAACTCAGGCATCCTACAGATGAACACCCGAAGCTGCCTTTTACTGAGTCAGACCCATCAGGGTCAGTCTTGTCTACTCAGACTGGCAGCAGCTCTCCGGTGTCTCAGGCAGAGGTCCTTCACCTCACCTACTGCCTGGCCCTTTTATCTGGAGATGCTGCCAGGGATTGAACCTGGGACTTCCTGCATGCTATCCTCTCTCTGGTGTCTTTCTCATCACCTCCTGCCTGGTCCTTTTTAACTGGAGATGCCGGGGATTGATCCTGGGACCTTCTGCATGCCAAGCAGAGGCTCTGCCACTGAACCAGGGTCTCAGGTCGAGGTCTTTCCCATCACCTCCTGCCTGGTCCTTTCAACTGGAGATGTTGGGGATTGATCCTGGGACCTTCTGCATGCCAAGCAGATGCTCTGCCACTGAGCCAGGGTCTCGGGTCAAGGTCTTTCCCATCACCTCCTACTTGGTTCTTTCAACTGGAGATGCCAGCGATTGAACCTGGGACCTCCTGCATGCCAAGGGCTCTGCCACTGAGCCAGGGTCTCAGGCGGAGGTCTTTTCCATCACCTCCTGCCTGGTCCTTTTTAACTGGGACCTTCTGCATGCCAAGCAGAGGCTCTGCCACTGAGCCAGAGTCTCAGGTCAAGGTCTTTCCCATCACCTCTTGCCTGGCCCAGATACCCACAGATCCATTCTCCATTATACCCTATGGGGACCGGTCTACACGAGGGTATAATGGAGTGCCCAGCAGACATTTCTCACCTCCCCCCGCTTTCTGATAACTCCAAAGCAGGGGGGGAGGGCCTCCAAAACAGGGGATCCCCTGCCCCCAACTGGGGATTGGCAACCCTAAGTGTGCCCCACTTATGAAGAAGAAGAAGAGATTGGCTTTATACCCCATGGCCCTTCACTACCCAAAGGAGTCTCAGAGTGGCTGACAACCTCCTTTCCCTTCCCCTCCCCACAACAGACGCCCTGTGAGGTAGGTGGGGCTGAGAGAGCTCTTGACAGAAACGGCTCTTTTTTTCAAGAACAGCTCTTATCAGAACTACAGCTTGCCCAAGGTCACATCAGCAGCTGCAAGTGGAGGAGTGGGGGAATCAAACCCGGTCCTCCCAGATTAGAGTCCGCGCACTTAACCACGACACGAAACTGGCTCTCTTATGCGTCTGACCAGGTCTTCCCAGTACAGGTGATGTTCTTAGTCTCTCTTAGCCCGCCCCACCCCCGCCCCACCCCTTGCTGCAGGCTCTGTGCCACTTCCTGGTTCTTAGTGAACAGCTGTTGATGGACAGACGGAAGGACGGAACAAGTCCCTATTGTGTAGAATGTAAATACTCCAGCCACGCTCTGCACACGATCTTTGCACAACGAAAACAATGAAAATGAGGGAAGAATCCATCCCAAAGTTCCACTTCGGAGCCTAACATAAGAATTAAGTGAATATCCAGACGCTTCACTCAACTCCCCCCACCACCACCACCACACAAGCGGGGATGCCAGCCTCCAGGTGGGACCTGGGGAATCCCCCAGGATAACAGCTCATCCCCAGACTGCAGAGATCAGTCCCTCTGGCTCCAGTATTGGAAATCGGGAAGGGTAGGGTCTTTTGGGATTGCAGATCCCCCCTGCTTAAAGGTGGAGCCCGTAGATCAGGGGTGTCGAACTCATTTGTTACGAGGGCCGGATCTGACATAAATGAGACCTTGTCGGGCCGGGCCACATGTGTCATAAAACGTAATGCCAGGCAGCGGAGATATAAACTTTATATAAAGGACACAAACATGAAGGGTTTTTTTTTTACTTAAAATAAAAACATGCTCAAAACATGAGCACTCTTGCAATATCTTGTTTATTTAACAGTGTCTGATAACCGACACCTCTTGCTCTGAAGTATTGCATCAAAACGTCTGTGCTGTTGCGATCTTGAGTATGCTGTTCAGGTGTGTGTCTGTAAGCTGCAAACCTACGATGACGCAGCAGCAGCAGAAGTGGAAGAAGCAGCGGAAGACAGCCAGTTCCTCTGTGGGCCTGACGGAAGCCCTCCGGGGGCCTGATGCGGCCCCCGGGTCGCATGTTCAACACCCCTGCTCTAGGGCATGGTCCCTCACTGAGGTCCCTCCCCTCCCCAAGCCCCACTCTCCTCTGTTCCCCCCCTCCCCAAATAGCTCCCCTCACCTGTGTGTCGTTTTGGATGGCAGATCCCACCTACATAAAGGTGGAGCCTGTAGATCATCCAGAATTACAACTGATCTCCAGATGTCAGAGATCACCTCCCCCAGGGGAAAATGGCTGCATTGCAGGGAGGACTCCAGGGCATTCTGGTGTTGTGGTTAAGTGTGCAGACTCTAATCTGGGAGAACCGGGTTTGATTCCCCCACTCCTCCTGGGAGATCCCGGTTTGGTTCCCCACTCCTCCGCTTGCAGCTGCTGGATGACCTTGGGCAAGCCGTAGCTCTGATAAGAGCTGTCCTTGAAAAAGAGCCGTTTCTGTCAGAGCTCTCTCAGCCCCACCCGCCTCACAGGGTGCCTGTTGCGGGGAGGGGGGGGAAAGGAGTTTGTAAGCCGCTCTGAGTGAAGGGCGGCGTCGAAATCCTGTCTCCTCCTCCTCTTCTTCTTCTTCTTCTTCTTCTTCTTCTTCTTCTTCTTCTTCTTCTTCTTCTTCTTCTTCTTCTTCTTCTTCTTCTTCGAGCCTCCTCCTGCTCCATCACTGTAGACGTTTTCCTTCCCTCCGGCTCCAGTATTGGAGATCGGGAAGGGTAGCGTCACCTCCCCATACCTGTGTGTCCTTTTGGGTGGCAGATCCCACCTGTGTAAAGGTGGAGCCTGTAGATCATCCAGAATTACAACTGATCTCCGGACGACAGAGATCAGCTCCCTGGGAGCAAACCCGGGCTCTGCCCCCCCCCCCAAGGAGCTGGCAAGACTGCCACTGAGAAAGGTCCACCCTCGGGCCCACGATTTTTGTTTCTCTCCCCCCCCCCCCCCCCCCCCGCACAGGGGAACCTCCTGCAGCCGGGCTGCTTGGGTCACAGCTTGGCCTCCTCATCTAGGAGACACCCGCTGTGGAGGGCCCCTGTGGTTCCGCTGCTGCATGTTTTCACATCCTGTTTGGGCGAAAGCGTGCTCGCTTGCCTGCCCTACTGCAGCCGGAGTGGGAGGTCAGCCAGCATGGTGCGCGTGCAGAGGAGCAGCCGGGGGGCTTGGGTGTTCCTCGGTGCCGCCTTTCTTCTGGCTTAAGTGAGGCCAGGCAGCCCAAGAGCTGTTGTTGCCTCAAGGGGAGAAGGCGTCTGGGGACAGAGACCTCTCCAAATAGATGCGTGGCCTGCAGTGGATAAAAGGGCCAGGAGGTAGTAGAAGAAGAAGAGATTGGATATATACCCTATGGCCCTTCACTATCCAAAGGAGTCTCAGAGCAGCTTACAATCTCCTTCCCCTTCCCCTCCCCACAACAGACACCCTGGGAGGTCGGCGGGGCTGAGAGAGCTGCTCTTTCAAGAACTGCTCTGACAGAACTCTGGCTTGCCCAAGGTCATCCCGCAGCTGCAAGTGGAGGAGTGTGCGGAATCAAACCCGGTTCTCCCAGATTAGAATCTGCGCACTTAACCACCAGAAGAAGAAGAAGACGAGATTGGATTTCTACCCTGCCCTTCACTACCCAAAGGAGTCTCAGAGCGGCTTACAGACTCCTTTCCCTTCCCCTCCCCACAACAGACACCCTGGGAGGCAGGCGGGGCCGAGAGAGCTCTGACAGAAACGGCTCTTTTTCAAGAACAGCTCCTATCAGAGCTCCTATGGCTTGCCCAAGGTCATCCATCAGCTGCAAGTGGAGGAGTGGGGAATCAAACCCGGTTCTCCCAGATTAGGATCCGCGCACTTCACCACGACACCAAACAGATATGGAGGACCTCTGCCTTAGACACCCGCCTTCCTCTCTTCCCTCAGAACCTTCCTCAAAACCCACCAAGAATTGCTGTGGGGTCAACAGCGTAATGCTGTTTCCAGGGAGAACCAGGAAGTCATATCACACCTGGAAGTAACATCACAGTGTTCTAGGATTCAGCGGAAACTCTATGGTTTCTGAATATGAAAGTCTGTGTAGTTGTGGTGCTTGTAGGGAGGATAAAGGTCAGGAAGCAGTATTTAGCTGGTATCGACTCCCTTGTAATTTCCCTTTTAATTAAATCAGAAGAGTTTTCGGCTAAACGTTAGGAAGAACAGTGGAACAGGCTTCATCAGGAGGTGGTGGGGTCTTCTCTTTTGGAGGTTTTCTGGCAGCCATGCTGATTTTGTGAACTTGGACAGATCCTGAGAGGGAGGGCAGGAAGGGTTGCTTCAGTGCTTAGTTCTCGTGGCCCTTTCTTACGCGCCCAGGGAAATGCCGATGGCCACTTAGGGGTCAGGAAGCCATTTTTCTCCAGGCCAGTTTGGAGATCCTGCACCCCTGGCGGTTTTTTCCCTCCATTTTCTGGGCATGGAGCAAGAGTCACTGGGGGTGTGGAGGGGGAGGTATTTGTGAGTTTCCTGCCTTGTGCAGGGGGTTGGACTAGATGACCCTGGAGGCCCCTTCCAACTCTCTGTGATTCTGGTTTATCATCGCTTGCCTCTGCGTAGCGGCCCTGGGCTTCCCTGGTGGTCTCCCATCCGAGAACAACACCGGGGCCAACCCTGCTTAGCTTCCGAGAGCTGAGGAGATGGGGCTAGTCTGAGGTTTCCCAGTCCGGCCACTGCAACCGTAGGGACACCTAATGCTGGAACGGAGGAAGGGAGAGGTCAGCCTCAAAAGTTGAACGCTGGCTCTGTTTGGTGGACCTGAATGCTGTGGTTTGGGGGCAACGCTCCCTCTAAGCTGTGCAGTCTTCTGAGCCAAAATGCTACTTTGTGAGCTCCTGGCATTAAAGTTGTGAGCGAGCGGTTTGACTACTGCAAGAAGAAGGAGGAGGAGGAGGAGGAGGAGGAGGAGGAGGAG